ACCCTAAACCCTCGGCCTAAGTCCCTCTGTTCTTGTCCTCCTTCTCTCTCATTTTGTGGTGATACTATCCCTCCTGGTCTTTCTTGCTTGCCTCTCTCTTCCTCCAATACCCTTTAGGAGCTATAAGGGCCGAAACTCAATTTTTTGTATTAGGTTTTGCTAGAATTGTCCCGCCTGCTGTGTTGAGCTCCTTTCTCCTCCCACCTTCCTTTTTTGGTAGTATAGGCCTCCTCCATTTCTGTTGTGCTCCTCGTTGGGATTGAACCTTGGCGTCGGACTCTGCACCAAAACTGTAGCAGCTTCCATGTCTTGGTCCTGTGGGTGGTGAAGTTAGTTTAGGAACAAGAAGGATGTGTTGTAAAGTGGGGGGGGAACATTGATGGAAGGGAATTGCCCGGGGGGGTGGGTATTTAGGGTCTGTAATGGTTTTCTGTCTTTTCCTCTTCTCACTAACTTGTTTTTTGGTTGAGTTTCACTTCAAAGTTTGACTTTTTCTTTTTCTACTCCTCTAGTTCCATCGGTGTGCTTTGCTCATTTTCTACTGTTTGATTTGTGTCGTTTTGTTTCCACCAGTTTGTGAATCGTATTGCTTTTGTATGAAACTGTTGCGATTAACCCCTTCCTTGACCATCTCTCCTCGAATTCTTTCTGGATTATGTTTTTTTTGCTGTCTATGTCCTCTTTATCCATCTTATTTAATGTTTTCTGCCATTCTATTATTATTTCTGTTTCCATCAGTTATCTAGCTTCTTCCCATGATTCGTTTTCTGATATCCTCTTCTTCCCTATGGTTTCCATGCATCTTGCTCTCCATATGATCCATATTGTGGTTTTTCTGAAAAGTTATAGTATCTGACTGTTCTCTTCTTCGGCTGCTTCTTCTCTGTTTATCGCTGTTAGTAGGAAGAATTTTTTCTTTTGGAAATTCGGTTCCTATTATGTTTCTCCAAATCAACGAACATCTGTTCGATAATGCTTGTGCGTGTGTGCATTCTATTAGGCAGTGAGTAAGGGTTTCCGGTAGGTTTTCCGTGCACATTTTGCAGTGTGCGGAGGTGATAGATCTATCTTTTTCTTTACGTCTTATGTCTAGCCATGCGTTTACTGGGACTACTAGGTACATTATAAGCCATTGTAGGCTTCTCACTCTTTGTGGTCTGATTGATGCGTAGTATGCCCATGGTATGTTTTGTAGCCTGTCTGTATCTATTTCTAGTTGTTTTTCCCATCTTTTTGTTATTGTTTGATTTGGGTCTACTGGTTTGCTTCTTATTTTGTAACCCGTCTTTACCGTGTATTCATGTAGAGCTATCCACTTTTTGGCCCTTCCTCTTCCCCTGTTTTCGTACCACCCCCATTCCCCTGGGTCGACTTCTAGTTCTGTAATGCCTTTGTTTGGTCTGAAAAGTCAGGTTGGTTCCTTTCTTTTCCCTTTCTTTTTTCTCCCCTTTCTCTATTCATTTTCTAGCTCTCTGACCTTTCTCAGGTCTCTCGTATTAAATTCTAGCTCCTCGAGCTTCTCTGTGTGTACTGGTGTGATCGATCTCTCTGTGTTTTCCAGTTCATATACCTAAAAAATGGCCAGGTTTGGGTCTTGTCTCGATGATTTTTTTAGTCGTAGGGCTACCGAGGGTGTTTCCTGTATCTTCAAAGTTGCCCATTCGCCCTTCTTCCATATTCTGTTATTTTTCAGTAAGGCTCTCCAGGCAATGGGTATGCTGTCAAGTAGGTCTTCTAAATTTTTTTGTAGTCTGTGATGTCCTCTCAGTCGCTGTCTTAGTTCGTTGACCGTTTTCCATTTTTTATTCCCATCATCCCATAAATGTTTTATTTTTCATAAGCCGTTCTCCACCCATTTTCTCCACCTTTTGTCTCTCCCTTTTAAGGTCCATGACTTTCCTTCACCGTCCAACAACATTTCGTTTCCGAATAGGGGTTGGCGCAACACTTCTTCCTTCAACCTTGGTCCTCTTCGTCTTTGGGGGAACGCTTCTCTCCATGCCCCAATTAATTTTGTCAAATGCTTACTTGGAGGGTCCCGAACTGGGGTTGTTCTTCCTGGTCTTATCCTTGTTCTCTCGTTCCTGGGTGTCCAATATTTGTTCATGATCCATGTATGTCCCTCAATGCTTTCGTGTGCTTTGAAAGGTAGGAGGTTTCTGATTTGGTGAATTGCCATGTCTTGCCTGGGTAACTCCAGTTTGAGTAACAGTCTGATTATCCATTTTGCTTGTAATGGTTGTACTCAGTTGCCGGGTCTATCAGTCTTAGACCTCCTTTACACGCTGTATTTATGACATACTTTCAGGCCACTTTTGTGATGAAATGATTCATTGAGGCGTCTCCCGTCCAAAGATACGTTGTTGCTCTTCTTCTCAGGTCTTTTGTAAAGTACTTGGGGGAATCCCATATTGAGGCTATGTACCAAGACATCGATAATATCGATGTGTTGATGATTAGTGCCCTACCCATCAAGGAGGTATAAATCTTTTGCCACCCTATATACTTGTTCATGATTGCGGCTAGTAAGTTGTCGGTTATTGAGTCACTAGTGCCTGCCAAGGTTACTGAGATACCCAGAAATCTTACCGGGTCCTGGTGATTCAACCATTGAAGCCCTTGCGTCATTTCTGTGATCGGTGGTGGTGGTTGATCCGAGTTCCACCATCCTACTGTTTTTCTCCAGTTTATCTTCATTTCTGACGCCAGTTGAAATGCCTCCATTGCTTTTGTTAGTACTTGAAATGAAGAGTCTGACGCTCTTATTAAGACTGTTAGGTCGTTTGCAAAGAGCATAGCTGTTGGCAGGTAGATTGGTTTGTTGTGTGTGCTGTTTAGTTACTGTAGTCTTTCGATTGAGGGGTCCTTCCTTAGAAATGATGCTATTGCTTCCATTACGAAAAGAAAAATTGGTGCCGCTAGCGGGTCTCCCTGTCTTACTGACCTGGTCATCTTGTATACTTCAGATAGGAAGCCGTTCACTTGTACTTGTCCTCTCGCTTCTGAGTATAGCACCCTCACCCATTTGCAGAAGATTGGACCCACCCCCATCTTTTCCATACACATCTGGAGAAAGTCCCAGTTAACCTGATCATATGCTTTTTCGAAATCGAAGAATAGGATGGTTGCTTGTAGTCTTTTATCCCTTATGAGTTTGGTCGCTTCGTTAAGACATACTACGTTATCCAGAATGTATCTCTCGGGGATGAAACCTGTTTGATCTAAGTGGAAGCATTTATCCGTGACGTTCTTGATTCTATTCGCCGGAGTTTTTGCTAGGATTTTGTATGCTACTGGTAGTAGTGTAATCGGCATATAGTTTCGTATGTCCGTTCTGTCTCCCTTTTTGTACAATAGAGTAACTATTCTTGTACTCATGTCTTCTCCTAAACTTCCTCCCTTGAAGGCTTCTTGAAAAAAATTGAATATATCCTCCCCCAATACTGGCCAATATTCTTACCAACATTCTTTGGTCAGGCCATCCTTACCTGGGACCTTGTTTGGTTTCTAGAGCCCTGCGTATTTCTGCTAGTGATATGTCCTGATCTAGGTACGCCTTTGCTTCAGGGTTTAGAGTCGCGTCTTGGTGTTTTGTGAATTTCTCTCTAGCCCGCCGGACTGCGTTCGACTCCTCTGCGTTGCTTGGGAGGTGTACAACTTTTTGTAGAAATCTGCAGCAGCTATGCCTAACATCTGCTTTGGGTTGCTTGTTGTTGTGCCTCTCTCGTCTTTCAGTTCTATTATCCTGTTATTACGGCTGTTTGACTTTATCTTCTGGAAGAAAAATTTTATCATGGATTCATTGCTTTCCCAGTCCTTTACTCTTGCTCTAATGTTGAGACCTCTTCTTCTCCATTCCGCCCATTGTGCTAGTTCCTCTTTTGTCAAGGCTAGCAAGGTTTCATAGAGAGGGGAACCCGGGTTGCAGATTAGGTTGTATTCTGCTATGTCTACCAATGCTTCTATAAGTTCTTGTCTTTCTCTTTTACGTTTGGCTTCCTTCCTGGATTCTTTATTTAATCTAGTACTTAGTTCCCTTATCCCCTTGGCGAAGTTAGCCACCATTTCTTCTCCTTGAAGTATGGGTGTCGTTTCCTCCCATGTTTGTCTAACGGCTTTTTGGAATCCTTCTAATCTGATTAGGGAGTTGTTTACTTTGAAGAAGCTTGGCCCAACTTGATTTTCCAGACCAAAGTTAAGTAGTAAACCTATCTGTTTATGGTCAAAGCCTCCATAATATGGGTAGTTAAATATTGCGGTCGCTACCATTGCTCCTAATAGTAATTCCGATAGTAGAAAGTAGTCTATTCTTGAGAATGAGGATCTACCTTGTGACGTTTTCCTAGTGCAAGTATACCTCTTCGCTTCTGGGTATCTCGTTCTGAAAGGATCTATCAGTTTCTTCTCTGTTGCGAATTCCAGCGTTATTTGAGCTTCTGTTTCGTTTATTCCCCCTCTAGAATGAGAGATCCTATCTACTTGAGGATCTAGTGTAGCGTTCCAGTCCCCCACAATAATGGTGTGGTGAAGGTTTGGGCACTCTTGCCTGATTGTCTCTAGTAGGACTTTTCTCTGTGCGTTGGAGTTTGGGGCATACACATTAAGTAAAGTGAGCTCTTCTTGTCTTAGCGTGAAGTCTATTCTAATCCACCTTCCTCCGATTGTGTCCTTTTTTATGTGCTCTATGGTTAGGTCTTGGGCAGCCCTGAATTTGCTATTAAATATGACTAGTACCCCCGTTGACGCTGCTGTCGGGCTATTAACCCATTCTGCTTTCTTTACATTCCTTATCCTTCTAACTATGCCTTCTTTGATTGCTGTGTATTCTTCCGATTCAGTCAGGTGAGTTTCTTGGATACAGACTATGTCTGGAGGATCCTTATCAAACCAATTTGTGTCTGTTGTGAAGTTGTACCATTTCGCAGGTGAGGTTTGTTGTCAGGCCGTGTACGTTCCAGGATCTAATTTCCAGTTCAGCTTTCCTCTTGCCCTGTTTGTACTCCTTTAATCCTCTTTCATTTCTATCCTCTCCTGTTTCCATGGTTCTCTATTCTTGAGGTTACTGCTTTCCTGTGTTGCGTGTATTTAGGTAGATCTTGTGGGGCTCATTGGCTGTAAGGTCACTCCTTCTCCCTTCTCAGGTATGTGATGTAATGCCTCCCCGATTTCAGGGATCGACACCCGCTGAATGCGCATGGCAAAAGCTTGTGACAAGCTTGCCGCTGGTAATTCCGGCAAAGCTGTTGATCCCAGCGCCGTGTAGGGGAGCTGAGAGATCTGCCACCATGGTTTCCATTGCAGACTGCTGTTCACTTTTGCTTTTTTGTTGTATATTGCTACCACTGGTTTGACATCCATGATTTCCCCATCTTCCCCTTGCTCTTTCCCGCTTGATGACTGCACTCTCAACACCTCCCCAAACACTCCTTCCTTCAGAGGTTTCTCTTTTGGTATCAATGCGTTCAGTCTTTCCTCTATGCTTTGCCCCTTCTCCAATCTGAGAATCGCGAAATTGGAAGTTGTGGCGATCTGCCATTTACCGGATAGTTCATCCCGTTTCATGGCCAGGATCGTTCTCGAGGGAAGGATGGTTTTGCCCGTTGCGAGGGTTTTGTTCCAGAATTCTGTTTGTGTGATGTCATTTAAGCTGCCTACTGTGACTGTCCTCAGTCTCAGTTCTTCGTTGAGATCCGACAGTCTCTCCACTTGTGCGTCCAGAACCTGGATCTGGTTTATCAGGACCTCTCTCTCATCCTGAATTTCCTCCATTTGCTGTTTTTTTTTTGTCCCTTCCTTTCGTCCCTCCTCTGATTGGGCATTCGAGGTGTTTCCCTGCTCCTCCCCTAGGGTTCCTTTCCCTCCTCTTTTGTTTTCCCTCCTCCCCTGTCCTGCATTTCTCTTCTTGTTGTACGTCTCTGGTAGCTCAGGCATTTTATATTTGTCTTCTCTCCATTCCCCTCCTTCCTGTTGTTGTGCTCCCTCCTCTGTTGATTTCTGACCTCCTGCTCGATTCTTTTTGATTCGGCAGTATTGTTGCGCATAATACTCAGCCATTTCCTCCTCCCTGTTCAGAGCATCATAGCGGTTTTCTGAGAGTGGTATGAGGTTCTGGTTGTGTGCTTCTTTTCTTGCTTTTTCCTCCTCCCTCACATACGCCATCTGTAGTAGTTCAAACAGGCTTGCTCTCTGTGCTTTTGTGTTTTTTTGATGTATTCCCTGATCTTTTCGATCCTGTAGTGGTCCCAATAGTTATCTCCTGTGTACTCTTGGTCTGGGTCTGTCATTCGCTCCTCTCTTTCTTGTTCTCTTTCAAGCTCTCCTCCCTTTCTTTTGCTCCTGATTCTTCTCTCCTCTCCCATCTCTATGTCTTGCCCTGGATCCATCTCTGTTGCCTTTTCCTTGCTTTCCTTCACTCTTTCCGCCCAGCTTCTCTCTGTCAGTTCCCCGGTTTCATCCAGGTCCATTAGCAGGTCCCTCATTCTTCTCTCCTCCTAAATCCGCTCTTTGTTCAGCACAGCATCTGTGGTGAAGATCTTGGGTGATTTCTTCCCTATTTTCTTCATCTGCCAGCTGCTGTCCGATGGGGGGTATATGTCCGGTCTCTGGGTTGGTTCGCCCTCCAAGACCCAGACCCAGTCTGGTGTTTCCAGGTTGTCATTGAATACCCAACCCAAATACTTCGCGTCCCTGACGAACCAGAATCCAGGTTCCCCTTCTACTTCCTCCAGGCTCGTGGGTTTCAGGATTCTGGGCTTCGCTGAGTCTGCATTCTTTGGACATCTTGGGTCTGTTCCCAAGTGTCCCCTCTGCCGGTATTTGAAACACAGGGGATGCAGTTTTGAAGAGACTGTTACCCTGACTTTTTTTTCCCTGATCGCAAAGTGCCAATAGTCTGGGAGTTGGGGTGGTACTGCTCCCTGAGTGTTGATACATACCATCATGGTGTCATGTTGTGGAATGAAGAAGTCGGGGGTTGGTGTAATCCAGTCAACGACTGGGAACTGCCCGTATTCCTCTTGTAACCTTTCTTTGATTGCCCCGTGCAGTCCTTCCTGCACCCCGTCAAACTGAATCCAGAAATTCTTCTGCATCAGTGTCTATCTATAACGGGAGGGGGTTGATTGTGAGGCCTTGGTTGGGGTCCATGGATAGACTGTGACAACAGATGAGCAACACGTAAAGGTTTTGTTCTTTAAAAATTCCGCCAATTTCTCGTCTTTGCACACGACCATAATGGTGTTCCTTCCTCTGTTGTGGAAGGTGACCTTGGGGTCTGTGCCTGGGATTGATTCCAGACTCTTCAGCTTGTCCCAGAGCCATTTCAGTTTGTCTGCCCTGTTTAATTTTTGGCTCTTCTTGGAGAATGTGAACAACACCGCGTTCTTGCTGTAAACTTCGTTTACTACTGGTAAGGATTCCGTAGGGTATTCCCATATTACCACTTCTTCCTTCTCCCCATCCTGCCCGTTTTCTTTGTCCACCAGTATCGTTTTCTTGTTCATTTGAACCCTTGTTTTGTCGGCTAGCCAGTTCTGCATTTCCATCCCCAATCCTTCCTTTGCCATCTCTAACGAATCTAGGTGGGAAGCTTCTCTCATGCTAGATTTGTCGTTACAATGGGACCTTTTGACCCTAACATGGGAGCCGTCTGTTCGTTAAAGTTGAGTGTGATTGGATGAGGGGATCGATTGGGACTAGACTGAGAATGTGAATCTTCTTGTTGTCTGCAATAATGAGAATAATTGTAGGCTGGAATGAATTTTGAAGTAATAGAAGTAATAATCAGAGTTTCGTTTCTTCTTTCAACAGGTAGCTGTAATGGTTGGACTAATGTTGAGCTAAAGGTACTAGTGCTTGCGGTTCCTTTTTCAGCCTGTAATAATGATAATAATAGCAGGCTGGAAGAGTTTTGGAGTAAAAATATTAACGCTTAATCCTCGTTTTTGTGACCAAATTTTCGTTACTACTTTCAACAGCTAGTTGTGATGGTGAGACTAATGCTGAACTAAAGCTACTAGTTCTTGCGGCTCCTCTTTCAGCCTGTAATCATGATAATTATAGCAGACTGGAAGTAGTTTGAAGTAATAATATTAATGCTCAATCCTCGTTTTTAATTTATAATAACAGACTGTAATTAATGAAAATCGGATAATGCTTAAATAATCGTTATAATAAAATAATGTTATTAAAATCAATCTTCGTTATTGGTTAAATGCTAAAGAATGATATTGGGCAGTGTTGTGGAAGAACTAGAGTAGGTATTAACGTTTTGGGATGGGGGAATATTGAAGGGGAACTGTGTGGGGGGATCGTGGTTAGGAGAGTAGGGGAGGGGGATTGGAGAAGTGTGGGGGGAGGGAGGGGGCGTCTGGAGGTATGACTGGGATGGGACTCGGCGTGAGGGGTCGGGTGGGGGAGATGTCTGGTGGGGATTGGGTATATGGAAATGAGAAAGGTTGTCGCGATGAGGTATGGGGGTCTGGTTTGTCGTCTGTCGTGTAGTGATAGGGAGAGAGAGGGGGGGTCAGTGTCGAGAATTGTTAGTAAGGTGGTGTGTGGCTGAATCTATCTTTGCTCCCTCTGTGGCGTTCTTCTGGTTGGATCATGAATCTTCTCCGAAGTCTCCTTAGGTCCAAGGATTGATGACGACTGTGTGTGGCTTGGAAACGTTGACAATGAAGCTAACCTCTTGATGTTGTGTCTTTTCGGTCAGCTTGGAGACTTATCCTTTGCTGTTCCTCGTGCTGTCCGCTCGCTGTGTCTTGCTCTCTCGAAGAAAAGTTAGATAGGGATCCGCAATTCTTACCTTTCTTTGTTGGAAGAGCCTGTTCGCGCCTTTAGGGTCGAATGATGACGATGTTGGATGTTGTTGTCTCGTCCTTTCTTCCCCTTGCCCTGAATAGTTGTACTTTTTTTTCCCTGTCTTGTGAGTTTTCCTTCCTCAATAGGTGAAGTCGTCTTCCTCGAACCTCCGCACTTCCCTCTTTTCCCTTTCGTTGTCTTTTCCTTTCTTTGTTTGCATGGGATCGTGATGATACCCGTGCTCTTTGTCCCCTTTCCCTTCTCGACCTTTCCTCTTTTGGCTTCTCCCCTTGTCCTTTTGTCTCCTTCGAGGTAACCCTCTTCTGTCCTGTCCGGCGCTTGGTTTGCGTTTGTTGTGAAACGCAATGCCCTTCCCGAAGACCTGCTTAGGCCTGACTTCTCTGTGTTTCGCCTTCTGCTCTCTGCTCCCTCACGTTTTGAAAATGGCGGGAGGCTTGCGTCACCGTGTGTGTGGCATCTCTTCTTCTCGTATTCTACAGCTCAAACTGTCGCGTAGTTACTGAAGAGGTTCACGTGACTAGGAGTTCCGTTTCTGGCAATCAGGTACACCTACACTTTTCTACTCTTCCTCCCCTTTTCCTTCTCCAGTTGGCTTTCCCTTTCCTCCTCATGTAAAGTTATTCGTCCTCCTCATCCTTTCTTCGAATTCGCCGTCCTTTCCTTACTTTTAGAAACTTTACGCTTCTCTATCTTTGCTCATTACTCTCCCTCTCTTTTCCCTCCCTCCTCTCTTCTTCTCCCTCCACTCTTGTCTCTTTTCCAAGGATAGCCATGCCTGAAGGCGTGGCGTGGAGCTGTATGTGCCCGCCTACCAATTCCCGCTCTCTGATTTCACATTCGAAAGGGGAGATGGCGCGCGTATGGAAACGCACGCAAAACATACTTTCTCGTCGGGCGTAAATTTTGCGTGCGTGTGGTCGCGGTAATTTTCGTTGCGTGTTAGCGCTTACCGGCGGCGCTAGCGCGTCCACGGTACTTCCTTAGCAGGACAATCTAGTTCTAATTTTAATGGCCCAAAGAGATGTGTGTTTGTTTCTCCAGTTGTTTAATTTTTGTTGAGCCAGAGTATTGATCCATTCGTCATTGGTTGGTGGGCGTCCTTCTGTGGTCGTGGACACCCCTAAGATTTTAACCAGGGTTGTAGCGGACGCACCAGGTGTGGTGCTCCGCTAGTAACAAAGATGGAGATGGAGGAAGAAGGGGGAGCAAGATGGCACAACGCAGCTCCCCACGCAAGACTCCAACGCACGTACTCCAAAATGTGCAAGTGAGGAATGAGACTGAAAGCAGACAATGGCTGGGGTATACCCCAGCGGACTGACGGGACTGGACTGGACTGGCTGGTACCGACAGAGGTACCGGCTTGGACTGGCCTACCCCGAATATAACACAGACCTGTGAGAACAGGCCAAGGGGTTGGTCTCACAGGCCAACCCGAGGTCCGCTACACGATCCTCGGCCTGTGATGGATCGCCTAGATACAAACATGCTTCCGCCRAGAAGCGGAACTCTACCAAAGAAAAGAAAACCTGAGTAGTCTAGGATGCGGAGCAAGCTCCATGCTGARTCCATGCGATGCAACCTASGATATAAAATRTCACAAAACAGCAATGTCACAGCTAACAGCCTAAGTGAAAGTAGGAGCAACTAACTAACATACATGTCCTAGGAAAGCAAAAAGTAGTGACAACTAGATCCTAGAATGTTGGAGGCACTAGCCTTAGTCTGGTAACAACTGACTAGTGTATAAGTCCTAAGAACAGCAAAACCAGAACAGCTAAATCCTAGAAACGTCGGAGGCAGTAGCCTCAGTCTGAGAGCAACAAAGCAATCAACAAGACAACCATATGTCACATGAGAAATGTGTCGCACACCAAAGGGTGGGATGGTCTCTGAGGGTGGCGAATGCAGCCTAGGGGTCGAAAACTCCTAAGGGCATCCACACATAGTGACAGGGGAAAACACATGTCATCAGGCTCAATGAGGGTAGGGAACTGGGAGCGAACAGAACCAATGACCCTAACAGATAGACCATCAGGGCGGGTAATGCTCGACTAAGGGGTGACTTCTATGGAGGGTTGACCATGCAAGGGAACAAGGGAGCCTGGTATACTGGGCGCACCTAGATGAAGCATGCGGCTGTCTCTTATACACATCTAGATGTGTATAAGAGACAGAACTAGGGCGTGAGGGCCGGCGAAGGGTAGAAAGATGATGGGTAAGGGAATCATGCAAATGACTCCTAAAGTGAGGGAGGTCGAAGCTAGATCCGTAAAATGGGAAGCCAGGGCAACGCTATGGTCCCGATGCCTATGCGTATACCAAGGGAGAGCCCAACTCAGAGGAACCCGGCTAAAGGGAGACCATCATGCGACACAAGCAGGGTACTGTATAGGGTAGAGTGGTAAGAGAGTGGCGACGTCTAAAGTAGGCAGAGCTGATCGTGATGAAGTCCATGAAGCCGCTGATGACGTCTACGATGAGAAGTCCGGAATGCCGTCGAGGAAGAGCCGCAGCGTCGACGAGCTGAAGTAGCAAAACTGATGTGGATGGAGTACTGAGAAGTCACCGACGTAGGAAGGTAAGTCAAAGTCAATCGTCGTATCGAGCAGGACGACGACGAGTGCGCTGTGGACGCTCAGAAGCATCCGGCTGCTGCTGAAGGTCTGCCTCAGATGGAGCAGGCTCAACTTCAGCGGTCTCCTGAGCCGGAGGAGAAGGAGGAGGGTCAGTGGGCAGAGGAGGAGCAGTGAACACAGCACGACGAGCACGGTCATAGGCACGCACCAACATGCGAGCGTGCTCTAAGTGCTCAAGGGGCTCCCAGGTAGCCTCCTCATCAGGTAACCCTTCCAACGTACGAGATACTCGACGTGGGGAGGGTTGTCGTCGGTGACTCGGTGACCAATGATGTCTGAAACGAGGAACTCCTTATGGTCGGCCACCATGATGGGTGGAGGGCGCTCGTATGGTCGTCCAGCGAAACGCTCAGACGGTCTGCGGTAAGGACGCAGTAACAAGACGTGGTAGACATCATGCACACGAGCCTGGCGTAGGTAGTCGGGCAGCTTCACACGAAAGCTGACCGGGCTAGATGCCGTATCAGAACCGACGGCCTGGAGAATGCGGCATGGGCCAAAGAAGCGACGCCGAAACTTGCGAAGCGTGCCCGCTTCGAGCTGTAAGTGGCGGGCGTCGATAAACACATCATCACCGACCTTGAATGGGTGATCCATCCGCGATCGGTTCGCACGTGCTGCCATGCGAATCTGGGAAGCGGCTATGTGCTCATGTGCGGTCTTCATAATCAACGTCATGTGTGCAACCCAATCATCCAACGCAGCACAACTCGTGTCGGGGTGCATCTGGGACGGTCGAAGGAAGTCCGCGGGAACACACGGGTGATAGCCGAGGTCGCAATAGTAAGGTGATATCCCCGTGGCTGGCGAGACGGCGTGGTTGTAGGTTATCTCCGCGTGGGCAAGATGGAGATCCCACTGCTGGTCGTCACGAACAATCTTTCGGAGAATATCCCCGAGAGTCCTGTTCGTGATCTCGGTTTGACCATCAGTCTGAGGATGGTAAGACGAGGAGAAGCGGAGCTGAGTGTCGTACACCTCGTGGAGCCGTCGCCAGAATCGGCTAGGAAAACGTGGGTCACGGTCAGATATGATGCTCAGAGGTAAGCCGTGGTCACGCATGACTCGGTCAAATACGATGTCGGCGACCTCACGTGCACTGATGGCATAGCGGCATGGAACAAAGCGTGTACGCTTCGTGAAGCGGTCGACGACGACCAGGATAGCATCATGACCGCGGGGGGTCGGAGGTCGAAGAGGACCGATAAAGTCCATCGAGATGGACTGCCAA